GAGAGAGAGGGAGGGAGGGGGAGAGAGAGAGAGGGAGGGAGAGGGAGGGAGAGAGAAAGAAAGGGAGGGAGGGGGAGAGAGAGGACGAGAGAGGGAGAGAGAGGAAGACAGAGACAGAGAGACACACAGAGAAAGAGTGACAGAGAGACAATGAGAGACAAACACAAAGACAGACAAAAATGAAGAAGGCCAGAAAGAGACAGACACAGTTGTATTGCTAGTGATAATTAAGAAAATAAATTTCCTGGGGCAGCTAGGTGGTGCAGTGAATAGAGCTCTGGCCTTGGAGTCAGGAGGACCTGAGTTCAAATCCAGTCTCAGACACTTAACACTTACTAGCTGTGTGACCCTGGGCAAGTCACTTAACCCCGATCGCCTCACCATAAAGAAAAAAAAAAGAAAAAAAAAAAAGAAAAGAAATTTCCTGTGTTTTGCATGACTGCTCGTATTATCTTATTAAATTGCTCACCTTCTCAATGGGTGGGGGGAGAGAAGGAAGTAAGGAAGGAGGGAGAAAATTTGGAACTCAGAAATTAAAAAAAAATGTTAAAATTGTTTTTCCATGTAATTGGGGAAAAATAAAAATATTAATTTTATTTAAAAAGAAAAAAATCTTTCCTTATAGCTTTGTATTTTAACTTTTAAATTATTATATTATGGTTATTATTAATATGTTCAGAGTGTAGTTGGCAAATTCTGAGTATTTCACCTCATATTTTTTAGCAGATAAAAGTGATGGATCTGATGCAGAAGATGAAAGTGAAGACCAAAGTGTGAAAACAAAGAGAAATAAGTAAGTAATGATAGCGACAATAATAATAATTCACCTGTATCTACCATTTTGAAGTTTACACAGTATCAGCCTCTATTCCAATAAAGCCTTTCTCAAGTAGAATTTGGTTTTGGGGAGAAAAAGAAAGCCTTTGTGGGGCTCTGCTGCCTCGTGATAATATGGAGGTGACCCTGGGCCCTTACCATCTGTGCCAGCCAAGCGAAAGCTCTGGCAGGACTTGCCAGCTGAAGTACTTTGCATAGAAGCCAAATGGTGCATTGCACGGCTCTTTTTATTTATTTTTTTAATTTTTTTTGTAATATAAATTTATTTTGCCTCCTTCCCACACCCTCTTTTTATAAAAGGAAAACAAAACTCTTGTAATGAATACGCATAATCAAGCAGAGAAGAGTCTCAATCTGGCCATGTCTGAAAATGCCCATGTGACGCTGCGTCCTGATCCCATGTCCTCTGTTAGGCCTCGCTAACATCAGAGTGCCACTGGGGAGGAAGCAGGAGGATGATTATCGGTATATGTTTGGCTACTCCAATTGCTGCCTACGGTAAGGCGGTGGGGGATACCAGAGCTATCTGCACCGACGTCCTGTTTTCCTACCAGATGGACATTTTTAAGGAGAGCAAGCTGTAGCGGTCCCTAGCACAATGCGCTGTGCACTTTTGAATTACACTTATTGCAATGTGGGGAGGCCTTCAAATGCCAGCTTTGGGCCAAAATGGGGATGGCCTGTCGCTGAGCAGCCCACAGAGCAAGTGGCCATCAGCAGAAGCCTAGGGGCTGCTTTGGGTGGCTGCACCGTGGCAGGAGAGAGAAGCTGGATCATTTGGGTTCAGATGGGTCAAGACAAATGGCAAATTCCCCAGATTTTGTTCAGAAGTAGGGGAGAAGGATGTCACTCTGCTTTAGCCAGGCCCCAGGAAGAGGAGGGTGTGACTGAGGCCCCACTGTCCTGGAAAGGGCACAAGGGGACAGATGCTTCCTTGGCACTTTGATTGGACTCTGGGCCTTGGCTGGGTGGTAGAGTCAGGCCCTATATTCATCTCAGGCCAGGTAAATGAAGAGATTCCCTCAGCCCCCGCATAACAGGAGGAATAATCTTGGTATCTGTCAGGATCTCTACTTGTCTGTCAGTATACCTTCATAACCCTCCTGGGCCTGGTGACCTAGGCCTCTGGGGTGGAGGTGGGGGGTGAACCTTCAAACAAGGATGCAAAGAGATGGAAAGTGGTCCATGACCCACTAGGGAGGTGGGGAGCATAGGATGAAACTCCAGAGCTCGAGATAACTGAAGTCAGGAAAAATACCCCTTGATTTTCAGGACATAATGACAGGGTAGTTATGCTCCTAGTTCTGTCTCTCTCTGTGTTTGTCTGTCTCTGTCTCTGTGCCTGTGTCTGTCTTTGTCTGTCTCTGTCTCTGTCTTCATCTCTCTATGTCTCTTTGTGTGTGTCTCTGTCTGTGTGTCTGTCTCTGTCTCTTTCTGTCTCTGTCTCTCTCTGTCTCCATCTCTGTCTTCATGCCTGTGTCTGTCTCTCTGTCTTTGTCTTTCTCTGTCTCTCTCTGTCTCTGCGTCTGTGTGGGTCTGTGTCTGTCTTTCTCTGTCTCTGTCTCTGTCTCTCTTTGTCTTCATTTCTCTCTGTTTGTCTGTGGTCTTTGTCTCTCTGTCTCTGTCTCTGTGTCCGGCTGCACCCGTGTCTGTGTCTGTCTCCATCTCTCTATCTGTCTATTTGTGTGTCTGTCTCCATCTGTCTCTGTCTCTGCCTCTCTCTGTCTCCATCTCTCTTTATCTCTGTGCCTGTGTCTGTCTCTCTGTCTCTGTCTCTTCCCCCCCCCAAACCCCACCCCTTTTTTATAAGGAGGTATCGGGCAATGTCTCAATTATGAAGCAAATTCAGGCAGGACGCTCTGGACTGACTTATTATCTTACATGCTTTAAATTCTTTTTCTGTGGTAAATAAAAATGGGAACATTGCATTGGATTTGGGAGGATGGGGGACCTAGCCCCCATTGCCAATAGGTCCTGAGCACAAGTTCAATCTCTTTCCTTGTCTGCCCATGGCTTGTGCTTGCTCTGTAAGAGGTGCAATGGTGATGATGCATTTCCCATCCATCCTGTGAGCTTCTGGATGACCTCCTTGGGAGAGAACACTGTAGAATGCCCAGTGGATAACAAGGAATGGGCTGCCACAAGCCACATCCACTTCTGTCCTTCAGGTGAACCTCTGTCTTTGCAGGTACACATGGGCCCAGTTGTTTTTGGTTTTTTTCCTAAACACAACTCCCCAAAACACTTTTGAAATTGATGACTGAAAAACATTCCTTGTATTACCTTAAAAAGCCACCCTACCGAGATGAGGAGAAGTGTGTGTCCTTGGATTCTGTGCCCCAACATTCTGGATGGTCCCGTCAGCACCATAAAGTAGAGATTAGTTTAATTATCAACATGATTTGGGGCCAAAGACACTTTCCCTCATGAGCTTCCTTTAGAGAGAAATACGTCCCAATGACAAGCTTTCAGATAACTAAAATACTTTAAAAATGCTCCACTGGGGCCATGTGGCCATTTTCTTTATTTCCGACCAGTGGGATTTTGCTCATGATCCAGGATCTCACATCTTGCCTCAGAACGGCAGCTTGATGAATTGCCCTATTTCCTGCTTTTTGCGTAATGCCATGTTCTTTCCCGCCAGGGTCTAATGTATGTGCCTTGTTATGGTTCCGAAGTGTTTAAAAATGTGCACTCTCTGTTAAGAACTGGGAATACATTGCCAAGAGTTTCACTTAATTATTTTAGGGATTATTGGTGAAAGGGTTTGGTGCCCACCTGTGATTTTATTGGAATAGGCAGTTCTTGGTAAGGAAATGCCTTCCTCCAGCTGCAGGTAAACAACTCAACCAGAACTTAACAGCCTTAGTGTTGCCCAGAGTACCTTAAGGTTAAATGACTTGCTCAAGGTCTCCTAGGCAACGTGGATCAGAGACAAGCCTTGTGCCCAAATCTTGACTTTAAGGCTGGCTCTCTATGATTCACTACTCTGCCCCTATTGTTCCAAAACTAAAAGCAATCAAAACCACACAATACATCCGAGATGTAAAATGCCAAAAATTATTTTTACTTCTGGACTCCTCACTGAGTGAGCAGATTTGACAGCTGACATGTCCAGAGGTTTCTTAAGAAAACACCGAGACTCTTTAACACCAAAGGGGAGAAATGCCTTTATTCTCAATATTAATCAGTTCTAAGACTTAGAAAATATGAACAATCACATGTTAATGACTTCTCGCTAGTTGTTACAGATTAACTGTAGTGGAAGGCACCATGGCAAATGTCTGTTGGGAACATTGACTATTACAACATCTTATGAACCGTGTGAACCACACATTTTTGTTTGAAATTTAGCAGCCGTTGGGGCAGCGAGGTGGTGCAGTGGATAGAGCACCGGCCCTGGATTCAGGAGGACCTGAGTTCAAATGTGGCCCCAGACACAAAACACTCACTAGCTGTGTGACCCTGGGCGAGTCACTTAACCCCATTGCCTAGCCAAAAGAAAGAAAGAAAGCAATTCAGCAGCTGTCATATAATTAATGAGTTTGGAAGCAAGTATAGTACAAAGTAGAAGACAAATGATGGAACTTGGACTGGAAAACATAAAAATAGTAGGATGCAAATGCACATTGCCACTGTGGGGTGTGGCGGACCAAACTGCATCTAAGACAGAGCATGAAAAGCTGGACTTGGTCACTTGTCTTTTGTTCAGCCTGAGACAAATCACTTTCCTTTACTTACCCTCAATTTCCTTTTTTTTTTTTTTGAGTGGATCCTGACTAGATGACCTTTAAGTTTTCCTTCCAGCTACAGACCTCTGATCCTAGAATCCTATGACCAGATGATATCTAGGCTCATGAAAAGCACATAATCCCATGATCCCACAGGCTGATGCTCCAGCATTGGCCTGTCATCGGGACCCAGAGTATCACTTTCTTCCCTTGTTCAGAAAGTCAGAGATGCCTAGAGGATGAGGAAAGCTTAAATCCGAAGGCATCTTCTACCTTAAAGGAAAAAAGAGATGGATTTATATTGACAGATAATGGTGATCTGGTAAAGGGAAAGCAGGAAAGGGCCTACTCTACACTCCCTAAAATACACTTCAAGGGCTAACAGAACCCTTCAAAGCAGCTGAAGGCCAAGTCTACAAGATCCTCAGAAAGTGGTCAGAGGAATCTCCATATGGAGCTTGATATTTGGCCTTCATGAGTGAGGTGCTTCTTCTCTTGAGGAGAGATTTAGAAGCAGGTTCCAGGAGGGCAGACAATCTGAGTACTCCAATCAAAGTGAATTTTTCTGAAGCTCAGAGCTGGCCAACTTGGACTTGTATTCAACTGAGACATAATTAGAAAGCATTTATGCTTGGATGAATCATAAGAAAGAAGGGCAACATACAATCAAAAAAGACCATGGCCTACATCCTATGACATTTCCATGGATACTTCCATAGTTGCATGTTTTCTCTGTTGTGTCTTGTTTTCAACATCTGTGATTATCCTTCAGAATTTTGGACAGATTCACAACCTTGTTGGGTATGGGTCTTTCATATGCTGATATATAATGAACTTTATTTTCACCTTCTCATCCTGGATGATTTATTGGTCATGAATTTACATGAATCTTGTAAAATGATCTTTGCTGCCCAACACATTGGAACCTTGCCTGTGGTTCTTTTAATATTTCATAGATACCAACAGATGACTTGAACTGTCCATCTGTTATCCTTGACTGTTTTCTTTTTAATACAATTTTCTTTTTTTTATTACAAACCTAACACCCATGAACATTTCAATATCCAGAGAACAGAAAGATGATTTTATATGAAATGTGGGCTTCTATTATATACATTTGTTAAAGCACATATTACATGTAACATGAGAGTAACACAAACTTCCCCATTCATCTATGGCCCCTTCTGAACTTCCTTCAGCTCTTATATGCATCTTATTTTTATTC